CTCTTTTTTGTCTGACAAGTAAATGTCCATCTCTATGCAGCTTAAATGTATTGTGGAGCTATTCCTTTCACAAAGGAAATTTCTTTTTTAATTTTGTACTTTCCATAATTCTCTCCCAAGGTAAATTGGACTTTTATACCACCATGTGCAATATCCAATATCAAGTTGCTTCTACAACATCTATCCCTTTAAATTGGGGTTGAGGATGATATTCAGGACATTGAGAGGTGGATACAAAATCATGCTTTCTTAGATTTGGATTTGGATTAGGATCAAGTGGCTTGCCACCATGATGCACATGATCAAGAGCCCATTATAAAAACATAAGCCTATAGTTTTATTTAAGTACACAACATTTCTTATACACAACATGATTGAAGATGTTGTAGTAAACAAAATCCTTTTGTTTGGGATAGCTTTTAGTTAATGCCATGAAATCTTGTTCAAACACAATATGCTGAGGCTACAAGCTCCATCAATAAACATGACAAGTGAAGTCCCTATCCATGAATTTAGATATGTAGATCACCTTGTCATTGGCCTTATCCACAATAGCCTTAAGTCATAAAGACTCTTTCTATTGCTCTTGAGTTAAGTGCATAGGGTCAAAAGCAACAATACAACCCCTTGACTCATCATGTGGAATATCCATCTTGTTGGAAAAAAATTATTAAGAAATTGGTAATAGATTGTTTATATAAAAAGTCATAGATTGTTTGATTAGTAAAAGAAATAAGAAATAAATAATTAAAAAATAAAATTATTAGTTTGATTTGATTGATAATCGCTTGAAAAGTTTGTTTGCCAGTAACGAGGTCTTATAAGGGGAAGGGGGACAATAAGAGCGAGTGCAAAGGCGATGGTGAGAGGTGGTGAAGGAGATGTCTGTGTTTGCAATGTGAGTAATTAGAAAATGTATATTTGGAAATATATATGTGGGACAAAACTAGCTTGCGGACACTATTTATTTAAGTACAAAACATCTCTCATACACAAGATAACAAAATCTCTTCAAAATGAGCCCTTTATAG